TGTTTTAGGAAGTTTCTGATTTGAAGAAATATGATTTGGTCAACTTTTAGTCTTTTTTGGTAAGTTCGTAATTGATGGGATAATTTATTTGTGGATAAGATTTTACTGGGCTTGTTGAATCACTCATGTTTCATAGGAATACGTCTAGGTTCTTATGGTTATGATACTAATGTAATCATCTGAATTCAATCATTGACCTCTAATAAATTTAATTGTAGATTTCACCCTTTACAAACAGATCAACCTCTAATTTGGTCCCTTGATATAAAGTGGCCCTAGATTTTGCTCTCTAAGTTCCAACATTCATGTATGGTACTATTACACAAACCAGAATAAAACTACGCTTACACTAGTGAATTTATTCAGAATTATTATCACTGATACCTATTGAACTGTTGGGTCATTCCTAGTTTGCCTCTAGAAATTTAAAAACTCTCACTTTACCTCTTAAAATTTGAATTGTTCCTACTTAATTCTTTCTATTGTAATTTCTGTCAAAAACATATAGAAAAAAGAGAGTAATGCAGTCATATTGAAGTCTTTCATTTTGAATTTATGTTTAAAAAAAAGATAAAAACAACATGGTCACACTTAACCTCCTCTTTTTTGTCTGATTTTATCAAAAATTCTTATAAAAAGCTTAAATGGTACAAATTCACAATTCAGTAAACAAAGTGAGAGTTTTAAAGTTAAAAGACAAAATTCAGGAGGTAATCTTGACAAATACCCTTTAAAAGTATTTGGGTCATGATTTTTATCTTTTACTTTTAATTCATAACTTTTTTAGTCAAATAATTATACTAACAAAATGATATTTATCAAAACTAAAAAGTAAAAATTTAGTGCATTCTTAAAAAAAAAATTCTCCATTATTTTAAGTTCTCAGGGAACCACCAATGAGAATAATACATTTACTATACGTTGCTTTTCTTCTGTTTGTCTTTAGAGGAAAAGAGATCGATGAGCGTACGTGGTCCCTTTATTCCCTTTTTACATGATTAGCTACTCGAATTTTCCAAACCTATTCTTTAATATTCCTTTGAAAACAAACAAATAAATTATTCAATTTTACTTTCACATTCATAATTTATTTGTTTGTTTTCAAAGGAATATTAAAGAATAGGCTGGGAAAATTCAAGTAGCTAATCCGCATTCGGATTAGCTTTCATCATAAATCTGCTCTTAGTTATTATCTTTTTATTATTATGATGGATGAACTGATAAGAGAAATTTAAGATAGAGTTTTTGGTGTATACTTTTTGCGGACGATATAGTTTTAGTTTATGAACATAGGTAATGAGTTAACCGTAAGTTAAAACTGTGGAGATAGACTCTCGAGACGAAGAGATTTAAGTTAAGTATGACGAAAACTGAATACATGCATTGTAGGTTTAGTAACTCAAGTAATCAGAGTGATGAAATTTCTTTAGATGGTGTGGAGATTGGGGCTTCTAGCAGGAAGTTTCGATACATTGGGTCTATAGTGCAGTACGAATGAGATATAAAAGAGGATATTCAACATAGGATTAAGGCATGGTGGGTTAAGTGGAAGAATGCTACGGGAGTTTTATGTGATGGCAAGATGCCTATTAAGTTGAAAAGAAAGTTCTATAAGACTGCAATCCGCCCAACTATGTTATATGGTAGTGAATGTTGGGCCATTAAGAGACAACATATATGTAAGATGAGTGTAGCAGAAATGCATATATTAAGATGAATGAGTGGTCATACGAGAATAGATTGCATAAGGAATGAAGTTATTCATAGTAAAGTAGGTGTAGCACAAATAGAAGATAAGGTGTGGAAAGGCCGCTTGAGGTGGTAAGGGCATGTCCAACGTAGACCGCTAGAAGTACCAGTTCGTGCTTTGGAGGACATTCTTATACCTAATACCAGGAGAGAGAGGGGTAGAACAAGAATTACGTAGACCGAAGTAGTTAGGAATTACATTCTACATCTAGGCCTTCAGGAAAATCTAATTTCAAACAAAGTTGCGTGAAAAAGTAAAATTCATATAGCTGATCCCAATTAAGTTAGGATTAAGACTTGTTATTATTGTTTACTTTCACATACATACATGTGTGTGTGTATATATATATATATATATATATATCTATATATGTATGCATGACTGTCATTACTCTATGATTGATTCGCACGTCACCATAAACGTTGATACTTGATAGATACTAGCATTTCCAAACACCCCCAACTGCTATCAAAACTTTCTACTGATATTAATCCTCCCTTAAATCATCTGTCTATGTAAGGAAGCCATATATAGTAAAATACTAAAACAACATTAATGTCATGTGCAGATTAATTACAACTATATATATATTAGCCCTTCGCTGGCCTCAACAACTTACCCCTAATTGGAAAAACCAATTCCTTTCTTATTGCAAGTATGCTAATTTGTCATGGCACGGCACTGACTGTCTCTAACACATATACCTATTAAGGTATACTTTGGCTGTTTTCTGACTTTTATTTCTTTTTTTTTTTTTTTTTTTTTTTTTTTTTTTTTTTTTTTTTTTTTTTTTTTTTTTTTTTTTTTTAAAAAAAAATATATATATATATACACACTTATTAATGCTAATTGGTGAAGTCTTTTACACATTTTCAGTATATAGCAATAGTAACTAATCATAACTTTTTGACCCTAACCAATTACTATATAACTTTGATTGAAACGTTTTACCGGCAAAAGTGGTGCATTATTCAATGTTTCTCTTAACGCTAATTCGATCAGATTAAAATGGTATTAATTAAATGTGATATATTCTGTTTCTTTCTTTTTTTTTTTTTTTTGGACTTTTGCTTCTTTTTTAATGCTTATTTAATTACTCGGTCCATTTGAGAACTTAGTTTGAATATATATTAATTAATTCCTCTTTTTCACTAGTGCTATAGACATGGATCTATGGCTTTTCTTAAGGGAAAAATGGAAATTATTGGAAGTTGCCCATGTGCACATGTGATCTGATCATCATCTTGAATTGATAATACATATAATAAAGTATGACATTTCTAGCTAAATAATTCTCTTTTCCCTTCCCTATGAATCTATAACATTAGAGAAAGAGAAATGCACACAAAATTAAAATAAAAAAAAAGAAAAAAGAAAAAGAGTTTAATCAAAAGAGAGAAAAGGAAATAGCACATACTGAGGCCTAATTTAGAAAGAAAATTTTTGGGATTCAAAATATGAGAAATCTCTGCAATTTGGAACAAGGAAAATATAGGAATATAGGGTAGAGCATTCTGAGTGTTTGTGGTCCAGAATATTATTGTCGTTTTCACGGTCCAGATGTATTTCCACGTTGCAAAGTGACTGAAACTTTTTTTTTTAATATCATTATTATTGTTTCTTGCAAGCAATGAAAGAAATGCAATTGCACCAAAAAATTACTATAGTATTATCACTTTTCCATGTTTCCTTTTTTTTTTTTTTTTTTTAAATTTCCTTATGTTCGAATTGTGTACCACAATTTACCTGCAAAACCACTCGATTGAATTTCACATGCCATTCTCTCTACTCTCATCGCAATTCATAATTCTCAATCCAATATATATACTAGAGATAGAAATTCAAAAGCAAAAGTATTATTTTTCTTTTCATGATCAGTATATCTTCCCTCATTATATTTCATAATTCCATGCCTAAAAGTGGAATTTCAAATGCAAAAATAAGAGTACTATATATTCTACCGAACATATACATAGAAAATTGACCATAAACACTGAACTTTTACTGTAATGCGTCAAAAATCCAACTAGCTATTATTCATGTGATTTATACTTTTCATAAAAAAAAGACACATACACGAATGAGAACTAAGCAAATTAATCATATACCTAATATAAACTAAGCAGAATTCTAGGTTATAAGGTATTAAAAAATTCCCTATAATCAATAAGGTCCAAATTTCAATTATTAGAATCAATCATGAACAATATTCTTAACCATTAGATTAAAATAGAATCATATGAAATTTAATTAAGTGTGACTATTTAACCGAATTTAATTAATATTGGGCGATTAAAATAAAATTTCCTTTTTTTTTCACATCATACTATAGGATGTTAAAATATAAAACAATTGTTAGCTCACCTCCTAACAGCTTAAGCTTTTAGGATGGATTAGTAAACTAACATGGTATCAGAGCGGGAGGTCTTGAGTTCAAACTCCCGTAATTATACTCTTTATCTCCATTTAAAATTATCATGTGTTGGGTCTTTAATATATTTCAAACTTAAATATTCACGTGTTGGACTTTTCAATTAATTTATGAATAAACATTAATTCACGGGTTGTCTTCATTATATGTGTACCAGACTAAAAGCTCCAAAGGAAGCTTCACATATAGGCTATAGCGGACATTGAATAGTGAAAAAGAGATGTATCTTGTCCTTTAGTTTTCAGCAGCCATGTACGGTCTGAGTTTAGGTTTCAGTTCTAAGTTTATACAGTTAAAAATTTTTAAAAAATGTCACGTCTTAACTCGAAAACGAGTCCTTAAGCTTTCATCCGACGGCTACAAATTTTTCACAACAAACTTAAAAAAATCCTAACCACTCATTTATAATTATATTTCGCTCTTGATTCACATTTTTTTTTTTTAATTTTAAATTTTCTTGACGTGTATTGTTTTTCTTCGGTAGCTAAGATTCTTTTTTTTTTTTCCAAGATATAGCCATGTGAAATATGGCCGAGAGGTGGCATTGTTAAAAAACCAAGATCTAAACATAAAATAATGGAGATAAACCCGTAATTTGTAATGTTATAATAAATGAGAGCAGTTGATGACTAGTTCATGGCTAACTGAGGGAATCCAAATTTGATGGTACAAATGGAGACTAAAAATTGGCAAAGGCCAGCTAGAATTGGTCCCTTTTGACAGCTCTATCTCAACGACTCTCACACTATAAAAACATGCATTACACTTTCTATCCTCAATACATAACCAAATAAACTCTCTCCTCTCTCCACTATCAACTTTCTTTTTTTCTTTTTTTTCTCCAAATTTTTTCCGGAGAAAAATCGGTGGAAACCTAGACACATTGGCCGGAGCCACGGAATTTTCCGGCGATCCATGAGGAATCCGGGAGGCGGCGGCTCTCCTATGGGCCGTCCTTGGCCTCTAATGGCCTTGGCTCTTTCCATGCTTGTTGTTTCAAGCAATGTAGGTTCTACCTCTGCTCATGACCCTTACATATATAATTCTCCACCACCACCACCTTACGTATACAAGTCTCCTCCACCTCCATCACCTTCTCCGCCGCCGCCTTACGAGTACAAGTCCCCACCACCGCCATCGCCCTCTCCGCCTCCGCCTTATGAATACAAGTCCCCGCCTCCGCCATCGCCCTCACCGCCACCGCCATACTATTACAAGTCGCCTCCACCTCCTTCTCCTTCTCCACCACCACCTTACCACTACAAATCTCCACCACCACCAAAACACTCGGAAAAGCCACCATACTACTACAAGTCGCCTCCACCTCCATCTCCTTCCCCACCACCACCTTACTACTACAAATCTCCACCACCACCACCACCAAAACACTCGGAAAAGCCACCATACTACTACAAGTCACCACCTCCTCCGTCTCCTTCCCCACCACCACCTTACTACTATAAATCTCCTCCACCGCCGTCTCCTTCGCCTCCACCGCCTTACTACTACAAGTCACCGCCTCCTCCTTCACCATCACCGCCGCCGCCATATTACTACAAATCACCTCCACCGCCATCACACCCCGTGAAGCCACCCTACTACTACAAGTCTCCGCCCCCACCATCTCCCTCTCCTCCACCACCGTACCATTACACGTCCCCACCACCACCAAAACACTCAGAAAAGCCACCGTATTACTACACATCCCCACCACCACCATCGCCATCTCCACCACCACCTTACTACTACAAATCTCCACCACCACCGGTAAAGTATCCTCCACCAGTTTACTACTATAAGTCTCCACCACCGCCGTCACCATCTCCACCCCCGCCTTACTACTACAAGTCTCCGCCACCACCACCAAAGTCTCCTCCTTACTACTACCATTCTCCACCACCGCCTTACCATTACACGTCTCCGCCACCACCGGCAAAGTCTCCGCCTTATTACTACCACTCTCCGCCGCCACCTACGCCATACTACCCGCACCCGCACCCGCACCCGCACCCTCTGATAGTCAAGGTGGTCGGAAAGGTCTACTGCTACAGATGTTACGACTGGGCGTACCCGGAGAAGTCTCACGACAAGAAGCACCTCAAAGGTACGTTTTTCGCCTTACTATTTTTTTTTTTCTCTTCCCTTTCATAGGTTGTTATTTATTTTAGATAGGTTTTATTATTCTGAACCTATAAAAGCTTTATGAATTTTTTTTTTTTTTTTTGCTAGTCTATAAAACTTTATGATTTGGTCCCACCATTTTTTTTTTTTGGGGGCTAAGCGGTAAGCTAGATATATAAATTTACGTGGTCCCATTAGTTTTCATATATGTATTGTTGTTAGAAGAATAAGGATACTTATTATCCGGTCTTTATAGGGGTAATATTGTCATTTTGGAAACTTCATTACGAAAGTATTGTGTTGCCAAAAACACAAGTTTTATAAGTTGTATAAAGCAAAATATTAACGAACAAGTGTAATTATACGTAATATGAAGATATATAATATTTAAATACTTCAGTAAAATCTAGATCATATATCACTAGCACGTTAAACGCTTGTCGCATTAGGGATTTTTTTTTTTTTTTCACTTTTTTGTTTAACCAATAAAACCACATTTATTATTCTGATAATAGGTCATATTATCACTAGCACGTTAAACGCTTGTCGCATTAGGGATTTTTTTTTTTTTTTCACTTTTTTGTTTAACCAATAAAACCACATTTATTATTCTGATAATAGGTCATATTATCACTAGCACGTTAAGCGCTTGTCGCATTGTGATTTTTTTTTTTTTTCCACTTTTTTGTTGAAACAATAAAACCACATTTATTATTCTAATAATAAGTTACATGCATTTTGGTAAAGACAAGAGCCAGCAATTAACCATGTTTGACTTAGTGAAACATATATAGCAGCCAATAAAGTGGTGGTAACGTGGTCATCATTTGCCAATATATATTGTCGTATAATAATTGATTAATGATTGTCGTATATATGGTGTGCAGGCGCTGTGGTTGAGGTTACTTGCAAGGCAGGTGAGAAGGAGATCAAGGCCTACGGCAAGACAAAGATCAATGGCAAATACAGCGTCGCCGTTGAAGGCTATGACTACCACAAATACGGAGGCGAAGCCTGCACGGCCAAGCTCCACGCAGCCCCCAAGGGCTCTCCATGCAACATCCCAACCAAGCTCCACAAGGGCGACAAGGGTGCCAAGCTCAAGGTGAAGTCTAAGGACAAGTACGAGGTTGTGCTCTCGGCAAAGTCTTTTGCCTATGCTCCAAAGACCCCTTACAAGGAGTGCCACAAGCACAAGCCTGAGCACCCGCCTTACGTGTACAAGTCTCCGCCTCCACCGGCCCCAACTTACATCTACAAGTCTCCACCACCGCCGCCACCTTATGTTTACAAGTCACCACCCCCACCACCTCCAAAATACGTATACAAGTCTCCACCACCTCCTGTTTACTACTACAAGTCACCACCTCCGCCATCTCCTAAATATGTTTACAAGTCTCCACCGCCGCCGAATTATGTCTACAAGTCACCTCCTCCGCCACCTCCAAAGTACCTTTACAAGTCCCCACCACCTCCAACATACTACTACAAGTCTCCACCGCCACCCTCTCATTCCCCACCTCACCACCCTTACTACTATAAATCCCCACCACCACCATCACCATCTCCACCTCACCACCCTTACTACTACAAGTCTCCACCGCCACCCTCTCCTTCCCCACCACACCACCCGTACTACTATAAATCCCCACCACCACCATCACCATCTCCACCTCACCACCCTTACTACTACAAGTCTCCACCGCCACCCTCTCCTTCCCCACCACACCACCCGTACTACTATAAATCCCCACCACCACCATCACCATCTCCACCTCACCACCCTTACTACTACAAGTCTCCACCGCCACCCTCTCCTTCCCCACCACACCACCCGTACTACTATAAATCCCCACCACCACCATCACCATCTCCACCTCACCACCCTTACTACTACAAGTCTCCACCGCCACCCTCTCCTTCCCCACCACACCACCCGTACTACTATAAATCCCCACCACCACCATCACCATCTCCACCTCACCACCCTTACTACTACAAGTCTCCACCGCCACCCTCTCCTTCCCCACCTCACCACCCTTACTACTATAAATCCCCACCACCACCATCACCATCTCCACCTCACCACCCTTACTACTACAAGTCTCCACCGCCACCCTCTCCTTCCCCACCTCACCACCCTTACTACTATAAATCCCCACCACCACCATCACCATCTCCACCTCACCACCCTTACTACTACAAGTCTCCAACACCGCC